GTGTACATATGTATGCATTCTAGTGTACTCTTGTATATTTTTAGGATATTACTCAGTATATTGTTTCAAGTCTCATCTATTGTACAGTAAATATGTGATGTTCTTGTATTATTATCTATTTTACAGGTTATATTCATGTACTTGATTTATTCAGGATATTTTAAGTATTGTCCAGTATATGATTATATTATTATTTATTTTATAGGTTCATAAATACACTGAATTAAGTCTTTATGTGGTAGTTACGTCATTTTGGTAATATATGAAAAATGTAATGCATATCCTTGTTTATTTCTAGGATATTATTAGTATTCTAAAGATGAAACACCTACAGTACATCCAAGTGTCTGTTGCATTTTATGTGGTTATTCTTATACTATTATCTTATTGTTATTTCATGACATTTGAATTTATATTTTTCAGGTTGGTGTGTATCAATGGATCAGAGGCAGTTCTCTATTGGTTAATGATATCCACACACTATCATGTACATGTACATCCTTATCTGTAACATGTATTCTATTTCCCTTTCCTTAAGATTGCTACATAGACTCAAGCCAGCATGCAGTCTTCTTCAGCATCAATTCAGTCCAAGTCTTCAGTGTATGGTAACAATGTATCTATTGCATGTTATTAATAACCTTGATTACAGTGCTAATAATAAACGGCTCATTTTATCACTATTCATCCCATTACATGCAATAAAGCACTGTCCCATTGATCTTTACTTATTCTATTGTTTAAACATTTTTCTCTTTTTTTATTTCTGCAGGGATCAAGTTTAAAGTTGGTTGAGTGTGAGGTAGAGTGAGAGTTAATAATGTATAATTACGCATGTTTATAATGTATTTTATGCATGTACAATATAATCCACACATGTCCTTCCACCCCCCTCCCACCTCTAGTAGGTCTGACTGTTCTGGACTGGACTCAGGATCAAGTTTAAAGTTGGTTGAGTGTGAGGTAGTATGAGAGTTAATAATGTATAATTATGCATGCTTATCATGTATTTTATGCATGTACAATATAATCCACACATGTCCTTCCACCCCCCCCCCCACCTCTAGTAGGTCTGACTGTTCTGGACTGGACTCAGGATCAAGTTTAAAGTTGGTTGAGTGTGAGGTAGAGTGAGAGTTAATAATGTATAATTACGCATGTTTATAATGTATTTTATGCATGTACAATATAATCCACACATGTCCTTCCGCCCCCCCCCCCCCCCTCTAGTAAGTCTGACTGTTCTGGACTGGACTCAGGATCAAGTTTAAAGTTTGTTGAGTGTGAGGTAGAGTGAGAGTTAATAATGT